TTTTTTTATATTTTTATTATAGTTTAAGTTGATAAATTTTATGTATCACAGTATTAATAAGTGTATCTATAATTTAAATGTTATATTTTTAATTTAAACTACAAATTTGAAAAGCCACTTTTAAAGTTTTTTATGACACTTTTAAAAGTCATTTTTTCAAAAGTAATGTTAAACTTACCCCAAGCTAAACACACAATTTCACTTAATATTTCTAAATTTTTTATTTCACTTCCTATAACTTTAATTTCCTTTTTATTTGATTCGTTCATTACAAAAAGAAAAAAATACAACCAAAGTTGTCGTCTACTCCCACTATCAGACAATATCTTAAACACCTAGGTGTCATATTAGGTTTGTTTTCTGAATTAGAAGACTACATTAGGTACAAAAAAATTGATAGTTACTAATTCCTTTTTAAAAATACAAAGACTACAAATATTTTTTTATCAATTTTTTTAGGCTTAATGTAAAAATAAGTGCCCAAAGTTGACTTTAAATGCCTAAAGCATGTTTCGTTAAGAATATGTGTCTAATATTTTCTTCGTTACACGTTTAGGTGTTTAACATTTTTGATGTTATATTTTTATGTACTTGGACTATAACGTTAAAATCAAATTTTAAGTGAATATTTTTTATCAATTTTTTTAGGCTTAATGTAAAAATAAGTGCCCAAAGTTGACTTTAAATGCCTAAGCATGTTCGTTAAGAATATGTGTCTAATATTTTCTTCGTTACACGTTTAGGTGTTTAACATTTTTGATGTTATATTTTTATGTACTTGGACTATAACGTTAAAATCAAATTTTAAGTGATATGGGTCGATTTTATAGATTTTTAATTTTTTTTCAAAAAACACTTTAAAATTAGGTTTTTTTAAAATTCTTCTTGGAATGATAAAAAAACCCTAAACTTCTTTAAAACCCTAATTGTAATCCCTTTCCACCGTCGACCGTTGCCAACAAGTAGAAATTTCAATGCCATGAGATCCGTCGAACACCCAATGGTCGAAACCCTTGCTCCAATCTCTAAATATAACTACCAATCGACAATTGTAGGGTGGAGAACCTCTTTAGCCAATCGCAAAATCTTGTTTTTACACGACCATGGAGTGTTCATTCGAATGTGAAAATAAGGGGTTTCGATTGTTGGGTGGTTGGCCGGTTGAACAACGTTGGGTATTCGGTCGATTAATGAAATTTGGGGCGGTCTACGATGCTAAGAGATTGAAATTAAGATTTTTTGGGATTTTGAGTTTTTTTATAATTTCAAAAAGAATAGGATTTTTAAAATAAAATTTAATTTTAAGTGTTTTTTAAATAAAATTTTATATGTCTGACACGGGCACTTAATGGTCGTTACAATCTAGATACCTAAAAATATAGTACCAAAAACATCAGGCATCTAAAAGTGTAATAAATAAAATATTAGACGTATTTTTAACCAAAGAAATTTTAACACCTAAAGTTAACTTTTGTTATACTTTCACTTATTTTTACTTTCAGTCTATTTTTTTTAATGAACTCAAGCTTAAGCTTTAACTTAGACGTGGTTTGCGTGGATAACTTCGTTGTGCCTCCATGATTTCATTATACTGATTAATTATTGTTAAGAATATAATAATTTCATAATAATTGATAAATAATAATGTTAATTATATTGAAAAATAAGATATGACTAGATCGCGATCCCATTATTATCATACGTCATGTGGATTCTACGTGGGGCACGAATCTTCATGCCTATCAACGGACAGCAAACACGCGTGAAGTCAAAGTCAAAGTTACCTCATCATTTGCTGGATCCCCAGTCAACCCTCCAACTTTAATCATTTCCCACCCTCAATTATTATTAGGCTTAAACCTCATTATTCTTTATATTTTAATCTAATTTTCATTTTTTTAGATTGCGCAAATTGTCCCATATTCATACTTTAAAAGGTTTCAACGTAGGTACGAATTAAACGACTTTAATAATAAAAGAATTATTATTATTCTTTAATATATTAGATTCAATTATCAAAAATATTAAAGGTGTGAACGTTTAATGTGAGAGTTATTTTTAAACATGTATTATTTATCCGAAATTAATAAAAGGAAAAAAGGATTCAACATAAAATTAAAAATTTTGTCCCGATTGATTAGACTAGTCCATATCGAGCGAGTGTTGATGCAATAACGAAGCTAAATGGACATGATCAACACCCTCCTCATCAACATAACGGATGCAACAAGTCGACATGCATCCGTGATCATGTGACATCAAACTCGTTCCGTATTTATTAATAATCTTTCACTCAAAGCCAACTTACGTTGGGAACATTAAGTTTCTAAATAAATTTTTAATACCTCATAGTCGAACTTTCCACAATTGTATTAAATGTAAGACATGTAAGGAGAAATGTAGAATCTTATATTAAAAAAATAAAATTTTAAAATTTTAAGAGAAAACGAATCCAACTTACTTTAAAACATGTGTATGAATACTTCATCCTCTTATCAACATTTTTAGTTTCGCTATTGTCCATGTCCATGTTAGTATGATAATTTGGAAGAGAGAAATTATTAGATGGTCCTCACTCACCACATTATTTGTGGTGGTCTCAACTGATAAGATATATCCATCTCATTTTTTTCAATATGATTCTTTACCTCTTTCTTACATGTAAATAAAGAGTGAGTGATTATTTAAAAGTTACTTTGAACTGGATATATCCTATTAGTTGGAACCACAAATAACATAGTAAGCCGGATCTATCTAATAATTTCTCCTTGCGAGTAATACTTTTTTAAGAAAAAATCAAACTACATTCATAACTAAAATTAATTAATAATATTATAAATATTTAAACTTTATCAAATAAAAGTAAAAATATTTATATAAAAATAAATTAAAATATATAGACTATAAAGATTAATAGGTTAACCAATGTTTTACTAATTCATTACTGTGGTATAATTTGACCCGGTGAGCTGGTCACCATGTGATTAACGACGGCTAAGCAAATCGGATTTTTCAGTTAATCGATGTTAAAACTCGAGTTAGAACCCTCGTGTTAGATGTACGGATTTAATGAATTGACAAATCTATCCTGCATGGAAAGTTTTAAAATAAGCAATTCAAGTGCGGACGTTAAGGGTAACTTCCTGGAAATTCGAAATAAATTAACAACATTGTTTCACGGGATTGTCTAAAGAAATACAAAATAATATAATGTTAAAAAGAAGGTGTAACTAGAAATTTGAATTTTTTTTAATAAAATTAGTTTAATGCGAAAATGTTGATTTATATGTAATATTTTGGGTTGTAACTATTTTAGAATAATTTAAAATGGTTTAACCGAGGAACTTATTTTACATATTAAAAGAGGAACACAAAATATTATAATGCAGGACAAGAAAAGTTATCAAAATAGTAACATAACATGTTGCACCGAAAATATTATAAACGGTAAGAAAATAAGTTATCAATGACAAATGTTACGAATATTTTAACGTTTTAGGTTGCGCCTAAAATGTTAGCAGAGTTTAAGCTAATGGGGCCGTAGAAATTCCAATAATAACAAAATAAGTTAAAAGTTAAAAATGTTAAGAATGTCTATAAGAAATTCGGTTGTGCCAAAAAAATGTTATGGTTCAATAAGAAAGTAGGTTGCAATTTGGAATGTTAATTTTCTTTGTAATAAAATCTGTTATACCTAAAATGTTATAAAAGTTTAAGTTGATGAGGCCTTAGACATTCTTATGATAACAAAATAAATTAAAAGCTGAAAATATTATGAATGTCTATAAAAAAAATCAGTTACATCCAATAATGTTATAGTTCTCTAAGAAAGTAAATTGCGATATGTAATTTTAATATTTTTATTATAAAAAATCCAAAAGTATCGATATTTTCCCACAATTATCGATACTTTCGAATTTTAAAAAATATATTGAAAATGAGAAGGCTGCAAAGTATCGATACTTCTGAATTTAAAAAAATATATATGGAAAATGAGAAGGTGACAAAATATCGATACTTTTCTGCAAATATCGATACTTTTGAATTAAAAAATGAAAAATTAGAAGGTTGTAAAGTATCAAACGTTTCCACAAATATCAGAGCATAAGTATAAATGTAAACGAAAAAGTATCGAACATCATAATATATATATCGATACTTTGTAGCCTTCTTATTTTCCATGTTTTTTAAATCTAAAATATTCATATTTGGGGAAAAATATCGATACTTTTGATTTTTTTTATAATAAAAATATTAACATTCCAGATTTGAACCTACTTTTCTAGTGAACCATAACATTCTTGGGTGCAACCAGATTTTTTTTATAGATATTTATAACATTTTCAACTTTTAACTTATTTTTTTATTGTGTGAAAATCTAAAGCCCCGTAAACTTAAACTCTAGTAACATTTTAGGCACAACCTAAAATGTTAATAATATTCATAACATTATTCGTTTATAACTTATTTTCTTACCATTTATATCATTTTAGGCGCAATCTAAAATGTTAAATTATTCATAACATTTACCATTTATAACTTATTTTCTTACCGTTTATAACATTTTAGGTGCAACCTGTTATGTTACTACGATCAATAACTTTTTCAGTTCCGTAATATAATATTTTATGTTTCGCTTTTAACCTACCGTCTTTTTAACTGATCACGTTGTTTTTCAGCCTTGATTTACACGCCCTACGAATGAACTCCCTTAGTACTTTACAAGATCATTGTCAGTGGATTTAAGAGATTTTAGGTATTGGGGAGGTGACATATATGGGGCTTTATCTTGGTATGCCTCTTCATGTTGAGAAGAATAAAACCAACACCTTTGGGTATATTAAAGATAGGGTGCATAGCAGAATTGATGGGTGGACAAATCAACTTCTCTCACTTGGAGGTCGGGAGGTGTTTCTTAAAAATGTGGCCCAAGCACTTCCGGAGTATGTCATATCGTGTATCTTTTGCAGGATTGATTGGTGCAACATATGATTAGCGCTATGTGGCGGTATTGGTGGTCTAGGAATGTTACTAAACGTGGGTGGCCCATGGTGGCATATAAGACTATGTGCAAACCTAAGCGTGAAGGTGGCCTTGGGTTTCGGGACTTACATAGTTTCAATATGGCACTTTTGGGTAAACAACTATGGTGTTTTAAAGAACAGGGTAGTTTGGTTGCACGTGTCCTTCGTGCAAAATACTTTCCAAGTGGCGGTTTTCTGAATGCTTCTTTGATGGATAAGAATTCCTTTGCTTGGAAAGGACTTCATCGTACTTTGCAAGTGTTAAATGAGGGTCTATTTTGGAGAATTGGAGCTGGTAGCCTTACGCCAATTCATTGTGATAAGTGGGGATGCACTAAAGTTGTTTCATTCACTGGAGATATAATGTTTCAGATGTTAATCCTATTTAATGTCATGAGTTTATGTTTCCTAGTACAAATTTGTGGAATGTTCCTTTGATTCGCAGGATGTTAACTAATGAGGATGCTATGTAGGTTGTTAGTGTGTCCACCGCACCGTGTAATGAGGATGTGATTGTTTGAGGCAATCACGATTCTAGTATATACTCAGTACGTTCTGGATATTGGTAGTTGCAGCGACGAGTCTATGATAATGAGCGCATGTCCAAGGTGTGGTCAATCATTGCCAAGATCCAGTTACTTCCTGTAACACCCACAGACCGATGCAGTTGACTGGATCTGATCCGAGGTGTCATATTAGGGCCACCGGAACGACTCACAGTAAATTCTCGGAAAAAATTAATTTTTTTGTTAAAATGTTTAAAACTATAAAACAATTTATAATTAAAATACAAGTTCGAAAAAAAATTCATATATTACAGACATAATTACATCATACATGTTCATACATAATATAAAAACCAAATGTGACCTATATGTCCACTAACTACACTTGTACCGTACTCTGCAAGCAACGCCAAATGGAACTCCTTTATTGATGTTGATAGGTGTATTGGATCAATTCTTTTAACCTAAAATGGAAAGTAAAAAGAGTGAGCTTTGGGAAGCTCAGTAATACAGAACTACCAAGTGATGTTGAAGGACATGCAGATAAAAGGAACATCATAAGTTTTCCTTATTGACTCAGCCATCTACAAATTTTCGTAATGAGCTGAGGTTCCATTGATATTTCATCGAGTAAAAGCCTTGAAGATTTTCAGTTCATAGGAAAGATTCAGAGTACCAAGTTTTCAGGAGATCGGAATAGGATGTCTAATGTGTTCCAACCAAAACCAATGTAAACGTACAATTTTTTTTAAAACAATAACAATTTAAAACATATTTTTAAAAACCATAGTAATACCCTCTAACCAAACACCATTATATAGTTCCCCGAAACTACAGCCATAAGGACTTACCCTAAGCACACAATAGAGGAGCCACCTTAAGAGAATGCCTTGGGCCTACCCAAGGGTCACCTTAGTTTCGTAAGGATTTATCAGCTTGATTAGAGCTAAACCTCCATACTCTACAATCCTACCCATACAGTATCCAATAAAAATCATATTTAACCGTAACAGTAATATTTGGATCGTGATCTAGTAAAATCTCGTAAACGTGACAATAAAAAAACCATATAATTGTCCTCCACCTGTACACCATATATAGTCCCATGATTAACCCAAGAGAGAGCCTTGGGGCCTGAGAGCCTACCCAAGAAAGTTTCTCGGGGCCTCGGAGCCAACCCAAAGGTCACCTTAGGTCTATAAGGATATACCAGCTTGATCACAACTGAACCTTTATACTCCAACCTACCTAGATAATGTCCCAATAAAACAGTTCAAGTAGTAACCAGTAGATTCCATGATCTATAAATTAGGAACAATCATATTTTCTAGTGAAAACATGAAACCAGATAACACATTTCTGGAACCATAGTTCATAAACCAATAGATTCCATGATCCATAAATGAGGAACTGTTATATTTTTCAGTGAAAAACAGGCAACCAAATAACACATTTCAGGTAACCATAGTTCATAAACCAGTAGATTCCATAATCCATAAATCATAAACTATTATATTTTCCAGTGAAAATAGGTAACCATAGAACATATACCATGTATCCATAGTTCATAAGCCAGTAAATCAGGAAATTAGTAATTTTGAAAAATCACATTTTAAAACAGATAAAAAATTTATATGTCACATAAGGAACACACTAGATGATCCATATATTATTCGGAGATACTTGGTATTTATCAGGTAGGGAACCGTGAAACTTTTGTAATTTAATAGGATTTCAGAATCAAGATCATACAATATTCAGATATCTTTCGTAGGCAACTAAGTATCATGAAGGCATTAAGAATCTTTTACATCCTAATTATTGAAGATTTAGACATAACATGAGTGTTCCCATTATTCAGGGAAATCAGGGGCATTTTGGATATTTGATTCTTGGAGAATTCTTAGTAATTTAATATAATAAGAGTATGGCTATGATTTGTGGGATTTAAGATTATATATTGAATTATCAGGATTTTGAGTCCAATTGAACCAACAATTAAAACACTTTGATATTTGTCAATTATTCGAATTATGATACTTCACTATTATTCACATCTTATTACTGAATGCACCAGTTGATCTGATTAATATCAGAATCATCCTTGACCAGTTATTGAGGAGACAAATAGGTATTTTGTTGGTATTTATTTCATTTACACGTTAATAGTATCCCATAATTTTCGACGACTTGGGTCGGTTCCATAACCTTTAGAGGCAGTACACCATTTAGGTTCATCGGTTTTCCCATAGTCTATCCAAAAACATTCACTTGATCCAAGTCATAAAGATATTTAAATCATCTCAGTATTCGAGGTTATATTAATCATTCGGGGTCCAGACTCATTAGTTGTTTCAAAACTTGAGGAATATTCATCATTTCAATACTTTAGTGACATGTCACAGTTCCAGTAATCTAGTCTTCAAATGATCATTTAAAAATAATGAGATCAATGTATTAAGAATTTCTAAATGTAGGAGTTCATTTTTGGGGTTTTTCAGATATATCAAGAATTTAATCGGTGATCCCAAGGTTCAAGCGAATCAAAATTTGAGTTCTTAGGTCATCTCCATTATCGTAGCCATCCATAGTCATTTTTACATTTTAAGCGTGTTATCGTCCTTCCATTTAATTCTGTCAGTGGCATTACTTCCGATAAATTAGGCTTCAAAGTGTTCTAGTTCTTTTAGAATTCAGTGTATTTTGGTCATTTGAACATTGGAGGTTATTCTAGTTATTTCGTAGCTCAAAGACATTTCGGTAATTCAGATCAATCCAAACATATATATCTTTTCTGGTAATTTGGTCAGATATATTTGTTTAGTGTTATTTATGCTCATAGGGGTAATCATGTTCTTTATGTAGTACAAGGGCATTTGGTCAAATTACAATTCAAAATTATTCCAGTCCGTTCCTTCTGTCCAATCTTTCCATTTAATTCAATTCTTATGAATTATTCAAACAAGAATAATTCTTTCGCTCTCCGACCAGTTTAGGTCTTTTTTACCCCATAGGGGTAATTTTGTAATTTTATACTTAGGTCATTTCGATATTAAACCTTTCAACAAAAATTAATTAGAATTTTAAAATTCTGACGTCATTGGCTCTTCAGATTAATCATTGTACTTGAAATCATTTCTTACCAGTATTTCAATTCCTCTATATAATTCAATCGAGTCTTAACCAATTTATCACTTGAATCATATTCGATTCGAGCCCATCCATAATCAAGCATGCATAGTAGACCAATCATATACATTCATCCATTTATCCATTATCAACATGTTCCATACAACATGAAAAGAGGTAGTAAATTTTATCTCTATCTCTATGCTCCACCGATCGAACATTTAAACTCCATTCAATCACTCTCGAACTTGAATTCAAAGACCAATAATTCCCCGGATACATATCAAACGAATTTACATCAGAAATTGAACTTAATTAAGAAACCAAATTGAATCCGAAGGTAAAACACTGAAAAACGACAAAATTGACTTCAGATTCAGACTCAGAAAGTTAAAAAAACATAAAATATGACTTTTCGAAAAAAATGACTTTTTGGTCAAAGTCAATGATCAAATATCAAATATTAGACCGGTCAAAGTCAATGGTCAAATCGATCAACGGTTAATAGGTTAGTTAAAAATCAATGAGTCGGGTCAAAGTCAACGGGTCAGGTCGGATTGACTTGGTCCAGGTCAAATAGACCCGGTTCAGACTGGTTTAGGCCAGTTCGGAATGGTCCAGACCGAATGAACCGGTTCTATAAGGTTTCTAGGGTTCGGGGACAAGACCCATGCGCATGCGGCAGCGCATGGTGCCGCATGATGACAGTGAGAAGTCGGGAGAAGACTGTCGATTACCCCATGTTTGATCCCAACATCCATTTCTTCAAATATTAATCCAACATCTATCGTTAAATACCATAAACTATCGAAAAAGTGACCCAACTTACCCTAACACCGATGACCGAGAAAAGAGTGGCAATGGATCGACCCAAGGGCTGGGTTTTGTGCGGGCTACAACGGGTGCAAACTAGTGCAGGCAGTGAGCTGTGCCGGTCACCGGTTCAGCCAGAATCGGTGAAAAAATGAGGTATATTTTTTAGGGTTACCGTCAGAGGTTCGAACATTGATTAGCGACGAATGAAGGTGTGTAATGGAACGATGTTGCTAGGGTTATGGTCCTCGATCTACGATGCGTTGAATAGGGGCAGTAACGGCAGTCAGAAATGGTCGGACGACGCTGAATCAAGGCGAAATGGGCTGATGGGGCTAAGGTTTATGGTTTAGTAAAATTGGGGATTTAAGCTGCTCTACCGGGGCTTTATTTTTCACTTTATCAAGAAAATAGGATAATTTAAGACTGGGTCCCCAAATTTCCTACAACTTTCTAAAAATGCCTATAAGTTTCAAAAACTTATAATTTGACCCCTAAACTGGGGTGTGACAATTCTCATCCCCTTAAAATAATTTCATCCTTAAAATTCACTCAAGTCACAGAAATGCATAAATGAAGCTTTCAAAAATTCTTCATTATCTTCAGGTAGCTTTTACAAAAGTACGAGTCATTTACTAATCCTTAACCAGCTAAATGTACATTCCCATCAAAACTCTCCCTCATCCCAATAAAAGAATTTGGCAGAATTATCCTTGTGGATTCAATTCAACCTTGGCTACGAGGTTAGGTTGATAGAGCGATAATATGTTCCAATTTCATTTCTGGAGTCAGGTCAGAATTTCTCAGATGAAAAACTCTCACATTTCTCATGAGACACTTTATAGAATTTGGAAAAACATTATTGTATTCCTTTATTCATAGGTCGAGCCCTAACGGATATAAAATTTAGGTTAGCTCGTTACATGGAGCGACTCAACCTTGGAGTTCCGGCTTAGAGAAGTATGGTTATAGTCTAGGGACATGTACTGACCATACATCCTATGACATTCGACAGGTCGGTCTACCCAGAAAACTTGACTCAACCTAGGCTCTGATACCACTAAATGTAACACCCACGGACTAATGCGGTTGACCCGATTTGATCTGAGGTGTCACATTAGGACCACCGGAGTGACCTACAGTAAAATTTTCAGAAAAAATTTAAATTTTTTGTTAAAATTTGTAAAATCATAAAATAATTTATAATTAAAATACAAGTTCAG